ACCTGCATGGTAAAACTGCAGGCAGCTAAATTTGGCACTAGGCTGTCACTTCCAACAGGGGCAGACACAGATATTCATAGATACAGAGACTCAAAAATAAAATAAAAAGACTTAATCCTGGTTCCACTTGGAATATAAATAGAATTAAGCTAATATTTTTAAACTCTGCAATGAAAACGGGGGGAGACACAGACTACTGGCACCTGGACCTTTGGATCCACAGCCGTAAGCAAGCCACGGGTTGCCATAATAACATATCCTAAAGCGAGAGATGTTCAGGCTAATTTAATAAGCGAAATGTTAAATGCACAACCATAGCCAATGACAAATCACCTGTCACCCATCTGGCTATAGCAAGCTGTGACCTGATTGCTTACTATGGATAACTGCATGGTGCACATTTTCACTTGTCCTTTTACTGCCTTGTGTTGAAGAAATGCAATTAGTTCTATATATTTATAACTCACTGATAGGAAGGAAAAGGGAAGAGGGAAGGCGAGAATGAGAACAGAATGATGAGGAAAGGAATGGATGAAGAGGGAAAGGGAAAAGAATGGTAAGGAAAGGAAGGGATGAAAAGGGAAGGAGAACTGAAGGAAGGAAGAGGGAAGGAGAGGAGAATAAAGGAGGAAAGAAAGAAGGAGAGAAGAATGATGAAGGAAAAGGAAGAGGGAAGGAGAGAAGAATAAAGTAGGGAAGGGGAGAATAATTGATGAGGAAAGGAAGGGATGACGAGGCAAGAAGAGAAGAATGATAAGGAAAGGATGAAGAGGGAAGGAACGAAGAAGTAAGGAAGGGAGGAAGGAAAAGTGAAGGAGAAAAGAATAAAGGAGAGGGGAGTGAAGCATGAAGGAAGAGGAAAGGAGAGAAGAATAAAGGAGGGAAGGAAGGAGTGAAGTGGGAAGGAGAGAAGATTTAAGTAAAGAAAAGGGAAGGAGAGAAGAATAAAGAGGAAAAGAGAGTAGAACCAAGGAGCTAAGGAGGGAACAGGGAAAGAGTGAAGAATGGAGGGGGCAAGGAATGAAAGAAGAAGTGTAGAATGACCGAGGGAAGGAAGGGAATGAAAAGAAAGAAAGGAAGAAAGGAAGGAGGGAAAGGTAGGAAGGATGAGATAAAGGAGGAAGAAAGTGTAAAAACTAAATAGTAAGAGACAGATGAATAGGAGATGGAAGTAGAAGCACCAACCACCCCTCCTCCCCCTCAAAAAATCAAAGAACTGGAATTTCATCTTCAAATATTATCTGACCTGTCCTGTGTAAGAATGTACGATGCGTGAATAGCAACTCATTCGCATTGACAGACGTATTTGCAAACCTTCGGAAATAAACCAAACGTCCGTCTAGACAGCGGATGAGAAGCAAAAGAAATACCAAGATTTATAGGCAGACAAACACGCACATCCATGCAACGCACACAGTTTCCTTAAAAAGCTCTCGAGACAGACACAGAACACAGAAGACAGTTTTATTTGCAGCGGCAAACAAATATACCACCGCCGAAAAAGACAGCACGGGCGAGATTCTCATATGGCCAAAGACGCAGCAGTCTGCGGGCGCTGCACAGCGAATGTATAAGTAGGTGCTCTGGAAAAAAGAGTATTGCACTTGACCATTAACCACCTGTAACAGGCACGGAATTTTTCACGTTAGTGCTTTTTGGGGAAAAGTCGCACATCTCTTGAAGGGCTTATGTGTCTTTTAGCACGGCGCATTAACTCTTGAACAGACGAGGCTCTGCAATGCGCCATCGTCGCCTGGCTGCAAAGAGTTAAAATATTTGGCCTTAGATCCTAAAGGATTTGGAATATCTCTCCACCTTTGCTACTCTAACTACCTTGCTGCCACACCACCCCCCCCCCCCCCCCTTTACTTCTTTCTTTCTCTGTGTCTCCTATATCCTATCACCCCACACACAGAGACAGACCCTCCCTCTCTCTGTCTTGAGCCAGACAAGTTTAATAAATCCCCCCCATCCTGAGCAAAGCCGCATTGCGCTTTCTGCTTGTCTGGAATGGAAAGGCAGCCCAGGGGCGGAGAGAGAGCGAGCAGGGAGGGAGGGGAGAGATGGATGGAGCAAGGGAGAATCGAGAGAGACAGCGGGAGGGGGAACAGAATGGAGAGAGAGCAGTGAGGAAGACAGGATGGTCAGAGACAAGGAAATGAAGAAGCCTTACAGGTAAGGGGGAATCATCGGGGGAGACACAATACGCTCTACACCGCCATCAAACATCGAGGCGCTGGGTAATATAAGACACGATTCGGTAAAAAATATATATTTTCAGGCGGTTATTTATCTCAAACCGGAACGCCAACACGGCAGGTGCTAAAATGCAATTTAACGAAAACGCATTTGCAGCAGGGGCGAGACAAAGGAGCAAAGGGAGCGTGCAATCGGCGGGCAGACGGGCTAAGGTGGTAAAGGCAGCAGCGAGCAGACAAAGAGGTAGCGGACGAGAGCGCCAGGTGACAGACAAAAGGTACAAAGGAATGCAAAGCAACAAAGCCAAGAAGCCACCGGGGGGAACTGTGCACAGGGACAAAAAAAATTAAATTAAAAAAAGAAATCTATATGAGAAAAGGAAGCAAATGCAGGAGGCAACATGCAATAGGGCGCACAAGGAACTCAAGGGATATTGATTGAACACACAGAGAGAGAAATAGACAGAGAGAGAGAGAGAGAGAGAGAGAGAGAGATCAATTGCTGGGAACTGTAAAAGCAGCAAAGGGAAAGACTTGCATGCCTACTTAATAAAGCGCCATGTAAAGTGGTGCCACAATGCAGCAACCATTCCGGTGTGTGTCCAGAGATGGATCTGTAATAGATTTGGTCTGGTTGCTACGGGCGAAGGTGCGTTGTGCACGTTCGCCGCCGTCTGCGCTGCCTTATTAAAAAAAATATATCCAATTGGACGCAAGGACCAGTGCCTTCGGAGGCCTGCAGTGCGCGCAACACAATGGGGAGGGGGGGGAGATGGATGAAGGCGGCTACCTGTTACGGCAGCGAAGCAGTGTACAGCAGGAGAAGTGCTTCTGGCTGTCAGGTTTTGCATGCAGAAGGGTGAGAGTGTATGTGAGGGCAGAGAAGGGGGGTGGGATGCACTCGCTTATGACGTGCTCGCTGCACAGACTGAGGATGGAGACACAGAGAGAGAGAGCGAGAGAGACACAGCAGCTGAGAGTATGGCACTGGGAGCTGGAGGTCAGGTACCGAGTATCAATGTCTCTGATCGATGCCAAGCGCGCTCCACAGCCTTCAATTGTTCCGACTGCAATCCTACGAGCCAAGACTGATAAAGGTGCGTGTGCGCCGACGACTTTTTCATATGGCGGTCTAGCAGCTCCCATCCTTCTTCCATTTCTTATTTCATTTCAATCATTTTTTGCTATTCTACCATTGTGCCATGTCCGCTTTAAAAATGCACGATGATTATAGGGCTAGCTGTTCTTTTTTTTATTATTCCCCAGTGTTTAGTCTGCATGCATACCTGATAGTCTAAATTGCCTGTTTGCAAATACGCAACACGGTAAAGCTATGCGCGCATGTTAAATACCCAATAGGTCCATCCGCATTAGCGGGCGTCTGAGTTTCGTAATAGTTCCTTTTTAGTTTATTTGATTTTTGTTTTTTGGGGGATTTTAGCTTTAGGAATCGGTGCATGAAGGGGCTTATACTGGAAACTCGATGCATTCATATACTCATACTTCTACATATAGATAGATCAATAGATAGATGGATGGATAGATAGATAGATAGATTATGCTCCGATTTTTCCAATAATGTCATTTGCTATCACTTTTCATTCCGTAGTCACAATGTTTTCTCAGTCTACAGCAAACTATTATCTTTTTTTTGCTATTTGCGTTATTGCTACTTATTAATATGCTGTGGCGGTCCTTTTTTGTGCGCCGTCCACACATCCCCCTCGATTAACCATTGTCTACCTGTGGGCTTGCTCGCCTTTGTTACCTGTGTCTCCCTCCGTGCAGGTGCGCGTCTACGGACCATAAGGGAGAGCGTCAGACAAAGGTGTGTCAAGGCGACGAACGCCCCAGACTGGCCAATATTCGACATGCGTTAAAGATTTTCAGCTCTGCGTGCCTTTTTTTTTGCCATTTCCCACCAGCTGATTTCTTTTTTCGCCTTATGCGTTTGTGTGCCATTGTTTTAGGCTCTGACGATGACAGTCTCGACAGTAATTATGTATGTAAGGCAGCATGTGTGGCTGCGTCTGTCTGTGCAGAAATTCATCTATCGCCCTCAGACAGCGCCTGTTGATTTTTAATGTGTCTCGGTCATCACGTTCGCATTGATAAATCCCCTTTTTGTACAGATGCTGCCTGCTTTAAGGAGAAGATAGACACCTACTGAACAATGCTAGCTTGCGGGGTGGGTGACATTGCACATCTGACATCTCCAGAGTGCATTTTGAATTTAACCAGCTTTATTGCAAAAGGATTTCAGCTCCTGATGAGCAGAGGTGGTCAGTAATTGTTGTGACAAAAGGCTGCAGGTCGCCAAATGTCTCCCACAAACAGGCTGGGGTCTTTAGACTGGAAAGGGTCTTCTACGAAGGTAAGGGGAATATATGGCACCAGGCCATCCAATTATGTCCTTTACTTCCTGCCTTCCTACCACTCCCTATATTGCAGACTAATATAGACAGGGCATAATAAGGACACATGAGTGGGGTGCACTAAGGCTCCTAGTCGATCAAGAGCCATACACTGGATGGCTACTTATGAATAATATAGACCTATATAGAGTCCTTTATCCAGACAATGCTTAAGAACCGGTTGTTCAAACTGTTTTAACGTAGAGCTTGCTCGGACCACTCCGAAGACTTTTATCTTAGGTTCTTCTGCGATCTCAGCAGACTGCTCGAATTTTTCACGTTATTAACCCGTTTCGGTATGGCGACAACTGTGCCAGCTAGCTTGCTAGATCTGTAATGAGTTGCTTCACCCTTGCTGTCTATTAACTGGTTTCATCCTGTGTCTTAGTACCAGACTCCCAAGCTTGTGTTCCGCCAGCGTTTCGAGGGGCAGCGCCAAGACGGAAGAGGTAAGACAATGGAATTTGTTAAGGTGTGGACGTCTGTCTGTGTCTGCTGTCCTCTGAATCCAAGCGCAGTAATCCCGCGCCAGACAATAGCCAAGATGGCCGCTCTATTGTTGTCTGGCTGGCAATGTCCCTCTGCAATCCAGAATGCGCAGCCATGTTAGAGTTAACCGTACCGTGGTACCGTAAATTTTCGTTATCTCCTCAAATGCTTTCATAGTCGTACTTCCAGATCTTACATTTCAGGCTATCGCCCTTTCTCACGTGTGCATTTGAATTAACGCCTAAATCGGAAGGCATCATTTAGCAAGCCAATTGCTGGGTTTTCAGAACATTTGCATATGGGCCAAAGTGAGTTAGCACTTGCTTTGTACAAAAAGATTTGAAAAGAAACTTTGATTTGTCCACATATATGTATCAAATGTAAGGTAAAGAACACATCAGGGGCCCTATTCTTGTTGCTATGTGCAGCTTAGGAACCTAAACTGATTGGCCGTGCCTCACCCAACCTCTTCTGTTCCACCACCAGAAGATGTTCTCAAGCTATTCAAGTCACTCTAATGGACCTATTTCTGGTCTGTGATACTTCGCAGACCAACAACTAGCAGAAGGGATGAAAATTATGTGTTTTTACTAGATTCTTGAGAGTAGGAAGAGGCAGGTCTTTACATGGCCAGGCTTAAGGCTCGTGTAGGCAACCTTTTAGGAGGACATTCAAGTCTCACTTGCATTTGGGGTGTGTTCAGCAAAGCTGGAGCACCCCCAACTTCTGATTATAGCATTACGGAACCCTGTGAGCAGCGGTCCCTTTGTGTGCACATGCGCTTTGCTGTTTTGCGCAGTGTGCACAATGTCTGGCTCTGAAGAGCAGACTTAAAAGACCCATCTACGCAAGCCTTGAAGCTGCCCACCCAATGCCATGGGGAAGTAACACAAACAAGAGAAAGGGGGCCTTGGTCAAGGTGGGAGACCACACAAAATGTTGAGTCTTGCAGGAATTACAGTCCATCTGTTTTGTCTATTGAGAGAGGGAAATTGATACTTCTAAGGTGTTAAATGTGACTTTCTTCTTGGTTTTCCCCAAAGTGTAGGACACTAAACTTTGAATTACACAAATAATTATACTTATGAGATTATTTGAAGGTAGAGCAACCAGCTTTATAGGCAGGCGAACTACATTAGGCCATAGCAACCAATATGACCATTTATCCTTTTATTGCAGTCACATAATTATGACTGATAACCGGTTGTCATGGTTACTGCACATCTTTTTCCCAAGGGGACTTCTACTAATGTCAGAGAACTGCACTGTCCAGTTCTCACCAATCACAAATCATCTCTTACTGGTTTGAAGACTCTCGGCTGATTGGTTTCTACAGCTTACTGCACAACATTTGTTGCTATGGGTTAATGTTCACCGTAACTCACCGTAGTCCATATCACACCATACCAATATACAAAAAGGTCTGCAGACAAGAGAATATATTAACCCATGCTCATCTAGAGCGGCCTTCAGCCAACTACATGACGTCACCTTACAGGCCTGTGCCTTGCCACTGCCAAGAATCCACCTCTTCTTCTCGTTAGGTTCCAAGTGCAGTAAACCAGTTATAGGAACTTAATCCTACTAAATCTGAAGCCTGAATTCTAGGAAACTGCATTCCCGGTAACATATCCCCAGCGGCCTAAAAAATGGCAAAACAACAACTGCTTTTAGGCTGCTTTATTCCACATGACTTAGCTGGTTTGAACACGTTGAAGATTTTATAAATATATATTAAGAAGAATTCCCCTTTCTTTCCTGTAGATCTAAAAAATGGTCGCAGACAGTCAGATGTCTCAACAGGACCGTCAGGGGGTTGGAAGTCTGCTCTCCCTTGCTGAGCTCTCGGGAGTGCTGGGGCTCAACGCTATATTCTCCCTGATTCGGGCAACGTTTGCATGGTTGAAGCTTTGAATCTTTATTACTCAGAATAGGAAACAGTTGCTGTCCTGTCACCCATAAAGTCTTCAACGTGTT